ACACACACACACCACACAAAACCAAAACACACACACCCACACACCCAAAAAACCCCCCCAGGGGGGAAAGTTTTTTTTTCCCCAAAGGGGAAAAAGAAATTTTAGGAAACCAAAAGGTCCTTGGTTTACCCCGGGGGTAGGGGGGGCAAAAATAAGGCCAAAAAAGAGAATGGGAAAAAATTTCAGGGCAAAGGGGCCCCGGGGAAAACAAGGAGATTAGTAAAGAGCCAGAAAAGAAGGGGAAAGCGCAGATAAGGGGGGAGGGCCCCGCGACCCGAAATTAAAAAGACCTAGCATCGAAATTTAAATTTGACCCGGGAAAAAGCTGTTGCCACATTAGGGGGAAGACAAAATCAAGGCCCGGGGTAAGGCGAGGAAAAAAAGGTGGAGAAATCACAAGAAACGATCAAAGGGATGTTAGGGGCCAACACGGATTTAAGGAAGTATTTACGAAAAGACAGGAAGGACTCTGGGGGGGCAGACCAATGGGGAAACCCAACAAAGGGAAAACACCAAAAAAGTGTTGGACGACATACAAAACAGTAGGGGGAGGTTTAAGAAAATGCTAAAGGGGCTCGATACCTCAAAGGGGGAATGGGGCCCCCCAACATCTCTCCGTGGGTCCTTAAGGGGGGGAGCAGATATGTTGTGCGTACCACTTACCCCCCAAACTTTAACAACCCTGGGAAAATGGGCAAATACCTGAGGGATGGGAAGGGCGGCAAAATTTGTTCCCATTTTCAAAAAAGGGGGACAGGGAAAAAAGGCCTAAACTATAACCTGTGTCAATTTAGTGTATAGTAAGCAAAAAATTTTGGAGAAGATTATCAGGGGGAGAGTGGTGGAGCACCTTGGGAAAGGAACAGGAGTATAAATGCCAACCAGCCATTCACGGAAGGCAAAACCGTTTTCACAAAACCCTTTTGGAGTTTTTTGATAAAATAAAGAAGTAAGACAAGAGAGAGGGGGTGGGTTGATTGGGATCTTCTTGGACGGGAAAAAGGCCTTTGACACAGTCCTCAAAGAGATTTTGTGCAGAAATAGACATCAGGCGCATATAAAAAGGAAAGGGACTGCAAAGGATCAGAGAAAAAAACCCGACAAAGGGGGGCAAAAAGAGTCATTTGGGACGTAATGATTTATCACGTGGGCACCCGTGGGCGAGCGGGGGTTTCCCCCAGGGGGCGGTTTCCAGGACCATTTCAAATTTTTTGGTTAAGTGAACGACATGACGGAAGGGGGTTTGACTCAGAAGTTCCCCCGTTTTTCAATATGTGAATTAAAGAGGAGAATTTAAAACTGATGAGGACCAGGCAGGGACTTAAAGAGACCGGACAGACGGGGGATGGTCCAGCAAATGGCTTTCTTTTTGGGAAATTTTAAACCTGCCAAATGCAAAGTTTATGAAAATAGGGGGAAAAAGGGACAGAAAAACCACAGCCCGAGTTTAGGTAGGTTTGGCCCCAAAGGGAAAGCAAACCTCACTCCCAAAGGGGAAAGACTTTGGGGTATAACACCGAATGTCTGGAAGCACACACAATCAGAAACGGGTGCGCATAAGGGCGCCCGGCAAAAACCGAGAACAGCATTCCATACCTTAAGGAAAAAAAAACATTCAAGAACTGTACACCCTGTTTTTCAGGGGCCCCCAAAATGGAGGGATTTCAGCCCCCGTTTTGGGAAACCCCCCTTGAAAAGCAGTCAAGAAACTAAAAGAAATACAAAGGTTTTCAACAAGGTTAGTTCCCGGGGGCTAAGGGGAATGTCCTATTAAGAAAGATTAAAAGGGGGAAAGGGCCCGACGACACGGGAACCCGGGGGGTCCCGGGGGGAGACATATAACACATATAAAATACTGCGTGGAAAAAGAAAAGGGACAAGGACAGGATGTTCCAGGGAGGGGGCAAAAGAAAAAGAGGCCACAATTGGAAGTTGAAGACAAAAAATGAGTCGAGGATGTAGGAAAAAATTTTTTCAGTCATAGAGTTTTAAGGGCAGTTGGGGAAAGCCAAAAAAGACGTAGTGGAGGCCCGAAACCAAAACACAGTTTTAAGGGCGAGGGTTTTATAAAGCTCATTGGGGCGGGGGGGGGAGAGGGCCTAGTAGGGAAAAAGGGGGAAGAGGCGGGGCCAGGAGCAAGGGACTCGACCCCTGCCAAACCCCAAAAAAAGGGAAATACACAACACAAAACAAAACCCCCCACAAACAAAACAATACAATACACAACACACAACATACAACACACACCAACACACATACAACACACCACACACAACAAACACACACACACCCCACACACACCACACACAACAACCACAAAACCACACCACACACACACACACCTTTCAGTGTGTTTTTAAAGTTTTTTAAAGATATTAACTATTACTGGGAAACACCAAACATTTTTGTGAGAAATTATTTTTTTTGGCAAAAGTGTTACAAAAAGTTTAGGGTTTGAAAAGGTTTTATTTACTTTTTTTTGGGGAAATTTCAATTTCAAAAATGTCCCCTACGTTAATCAAAAAATTTTTAAACTGGGAAACAATAAAAAAAAAGAACTTTCCAAGTAAAAGGAAATAATTTATCTGACCAATATCAAAAATCAACATGTCCAGTTCAATACTGGAATTTTATATTTATTTACCATTACGGGGAGGCCCCTGCCCAATCTTAGCACGTGAACCCCGTTTGTATACAACAAGGCTTTGATTTTATACCCCTCTACCTCCCTCGCCCAAAGCCCAGAGTGCAGGAAAACCTGGATGGCTGGACTCACCCGATACCAAAATAAGTCCTAAACAGCCATTTTTATTTCTTGCTCCCATCATTTCTTAAACACGAACTCTAAAACACGTGGCATCGAGTTAAATAAGCCGTTTTTTCGTCTATTTTTCCTCCAAACATTACACGCTGCGGTACCAAAGGGTTTCCCCTATATTAGGGGAACTGTTCAAATCACATAGTTGTACTTCAATACCTCTGCGGGCCTGGTAACTTGCAAGAGCCCCCTTCTGCTTGACATTGTCGCTCAGGTGTTGGATATGAGACTTGGTGCGGTGCCCCAAATTTTGGGATTTTAAGCGTCGAGTTTGTCGTGGGGACGTCGATTGGTCCTGAGGGCCACCCTTTTCCCTTTTCCGCATCCCCTACATTCTGAAGAAGGGGGGGCAAATAGAAAGTGTAGCCCACCCCACGGGACCCCTTTAAATAAAAAAAAATTAAATTAATAAAGCCGCATTGATCATTCAAAAAACAAGAAGGGGGAAGGCTTGATACTTCGTTCAGTAAAGCAAAGCAAAACCACCTAACGTGTCATTAAATTTCCGTAATGGCGGGGCCACAATGCATTGCAGACCATCCTTTTTTTTTTAAATTTTGCACAATTGGATACATCACAAAATTCTGCTACCCTTTTATTAGCTACATAATGAGTGCCAGCTGAAGTTTCCCCCTTATATTCCATCAACAGGCAAAGGATACAGAGAAGGATGTCGGAAGATGTTTGCATTCGGTTCCAAATTTTTGTTTAACTGAGAATTCAGGGAGCTTACTTTTTTTTTTTGTTTCCGGCGAGGTCGATGAAAATTGCTCGCCCTTGGAGAGCGGGTCCTTGGGAAGGGGGGTCGAGTTGGGGTAGTAGCTCCGGGCTTTGGGTTTGGGGGGTAGTACTGACAACCGTAGGGGACCCGACTTTCTTTCCCCCGTCTCTTCTCCTTGTGTTCAGACTTGTGCTACGGGAATCACATTTTCTATATAGTTAAGTTAGGGGAGTTTTAGTATGTTGTATGTGGGGGTATTGAAGGGTGGGGTTTATCTGTTTATGGGGGTGACGAGGGGAGGTGTTGCATGTGTGTGGGGGTGTATGAAGCGAGGTTGGTGGGTTCAGGGGTTTAGACATTTTAAAATGAAGGTACATGTAAAAGATATTGCTAATTTATTTTTTTTCACCAGAATTTGAAACTACTACTCCACTTCTACTAATATACTAAACCCACTAGTACTACAGTACTATTACACTATTTCTCTATATTCTTACTTACACCGTCTGGTCAGAAAAAAAATCAACACACGACCCCTTTCTTTCTTCTTCCTTTGGGTCTGGGCGCGTCCTTCTCGAGGTTCACTGTCGTTATCTTCCCCCCTCTTTTGTCTCCTTTTCCCTCCCCTTTCCCCATGCCCTTGTTCTTGGCCTCCCTTTGCTTCCTTCTTTTCTGCTCCGTTTTTTGCGGGTCGCCCCGGGAGACCAGGGGGGCGGGATTCCGAGGATCTCCCGGATCTGGCCGAATCCTTTCGCCGGCGATGTCTCCAGGCGCCTCATTTTGCTATCACCAAACATGTTTATTAATGTCTCTATTCTAGTTGTTATTAACGTGCTACTGATAATTATATAACTTTGCTGTTTAATGAATTTTAATATCATTGTTAATAATAATAATAATAATAATAATAATAATAATAATAATAATGTCATTAAAATTATTATTCTATTTAAGAAATCTACATTTCAGACTTAAGGGGTGGAAGGAATGGAATGATGATGGATGGGAGATAATGATGGAGATGGAAGGACAGGAGAACTGAAGATAGAGGTGAGGATGGAAGAAGAAACAGCAGTGATGATGGAAGGATGCTGGAGGTGACTCTCCCTACCCTGTTCTTAATGTGTTTGTCAACACCAGACTCTCCCTACCTTGTTCTTAATGTGCTAGTCGGCACCAGACTCTCCCTACCTTGTTCTTAATGTGCTAGTCGGCACCAGACTCTCCCTACCTTGTTCTTAATGTGCTGGTCGGCACCAGACTCTCCCTACCTTGTTCTTAATGTGCTGGTCGGCACCAGACTCTCCCTACCTTGTTCTTAATGTGCTGGTCGGCACCAGACTCTCCCTACCTTGTCTTAATGTCTAGTCGGCACCAACTCTCCCTACCTTGTTCTTAATGTGCTAGTCGGCACCAGACTCTCCCTACCTTGTTCTTAATGTGCTGGTCGGACACAGACTCTCCCTACCTTGTTCTTAATGTGCTAGTCGGCACCAGACTCTCCCTACCTTGTTCTTAATGTGCTGGTCGGCACCAGACTCTCCCTACCTTGTTCTTAATGTGCTGGTCGGCACCAGACTCCAGCAGTATCTTGGTGAGCTTCCTCCTGCCCATGGCGGCAGCAATATGCAGGGCCGTGTCTCCATTCTGACAACAACAACACAACTTTAGTCTCACATCAACATAAATTAATAAACATTTATTGTTTAACAATATATCACACAGTGAGGTGTGTCTGGGGAAAGACAAGTTACTAAGACGTAAATATGAGGAACATCATGAATCAAATGTGCGAGAGATGAAGGAGTGAGAGTGAGCTTTAAAACCGGTGATAAATGAGAATAGAGAGAGAGAGAGAGAGAGAGAGAGAGAGAGAGAGAGAGAGAGAGAGAGAGAGAGTTATCCTGACCTTGTTCATCTCGCCGACGTGTATCCTGGCAGAGAGTAGTATGCGGGTGACACCAGCGTGGCCATAGCGTGCAGCGGTGTGTAGGGGAGTGTCACCATACTGTCAGACACAAGGAGGGGGTAAATAATAACCACGTTTAGTCAGCAATCTTGGCTCTCTCTTCTATACACACACGCTTATACTCAGAATCATTTTTTTTCCTCCAGAAAAGTTACTTCCTTCTTCCCTTTCTTTGTCCTTCCCTCCATCCCTTCTCTTTCTGCTTTCCATTATACATCGCATCAACTAACACTAACGTGATCTACTGCCTTCCCTCCATCACAACTAAAAACCAAATAATTAATTTTATCCCTTACTCCAGGTGAGGAGCAAGTAGCGGGTGTAACTCACGTTGTTCTTGATGTCAGGTTTGCAGCCTGCCAGGAGGAGGACCCTGCAGGTCTGGTTGTGACCGTTCTGGCAGGCCAGGTGGAGTGGGGCAAACCCTCCCTTGTTCTTGATGTAGACGTTAGCCTTGGCCCTGACCAGCGCCTCGGCAGTGTGACTGTAGCCCTTCCAGGCTGCCTCGTGCAGTGCAGTGTTCCCGTGCTGAGGACACACATGTATATAAGAATGATGCACATACAGTAGGGTAACATAAATAACAACATACAGTTGCATGAACACAGTTGTATAGAGGACTGTTTTCAGTTATAAGAAAAAAAGTAATATTGCTATAAAGTTACATACAGAGAGTAAATTCTGTGCATCCTATGGTTTTATTTTTCAAAAATCATAACCAAGTATAATGTTTTGAAAATATATGATTTGAATTTGGGTACAGAATTAACTTATTATTAAATAAAATAATTACCATTATTTTAACTACCCACAATTAGTATGTAAGTTTATTTAGACACGTAAGTACAAGTATCAAAGATAGTGTAAATGACCAAGGATAACCCAAAAAAAAGTCAAAGTGACTTATTTCCATAAAAAGCACAAAACACATATATGTTTTGTGACTGTTGATGTTAATAAAATAAGAGAATTTAGCGGCTACAAACCTGGTCATCCTGATGGTCGACGTTAGCGTTGTGTTTAATGAGCTGACGGACAATTTCGATGTGACCCTCGCAGGCGGCCCGCTGCAGCGCAGTATACCCACACTGCAAACAAAGAAAACGGTTAGGTAATGTAGTAAGAAAACCAACATGCATAAACCCTAGTGGGGGGTCTCGTTTAATTTAAATACACAGCAGGAGACAACAGTTCGATGCATGATTATCACCGTGGCACACACCATTAATTTATTTTACCGTTTTTGTGCACAAAAATATGTCAGTTTTAATTAGGAGTCATAAAGGTGGGGGTATAAAACCCCCCACACGTAGTTTGATTGTAAGTTATCGTGTACAATTTGTGATCTCAACGGGTTGTAGAGTCATATAACTACATGTCTGTCTGTCACTGCACGATCCCACGATCCCCGTACCCTAAACTCACCCCCCTCTGCCTCAGCCCACACAAGAAACAACTGAGACTACACACTCTCAAGTGCAATATAAGCTGAAGTTCAACTCCCTAAAAAGAAGCTATGGATTAACCCTCCCAAAATAATAATAATAATCTATACTTCTACAAGTGCACGTAAAAACATATATAGTCCTTGCTGACATCAATGACATACTAATAAAAAGTCCCTTGTTATGCAGAGCATTTCAGGTAAATTAGGTTAATATTGTCCCCAGGATGCGACCCACACTAGTCGACTAACACCCAGGTACCTACTTACTGCTAGGCGAACAGGGACGGCAGGTGTCTTAAGGAAACACGCCTTGGAGATCAATCCCTTTGAAAGCCCCTCAACAAATCTACCTTGATGCTGGTGATAGGCTCATGATCCAAGGACTTATCTTCCCTGTCCTCCGGTACGGCTGGAAACACTAGGGCGTGTTTCCGTAAGACATCTGCTGCCCCTGTTCACCCATCGGTCTAAAATGGGTACCTGGGTGTTAGTCGACTGGTGTGGGTCGCATCCGGGGAAAATAATCTAATTTGCCCGAAATGCTCAGCATAATGTCATTGATGTCAGCTAGGACTGTATACCTTGTACATGTACTTGTAGTAAATAAAATATTATTATTATTATTATTATTATTATTATTATTATTTTTATTTCCTTAGATCAAATCTGACTCCTATTTCTCCAGACACTGTACGACCCCTACGGGGTTTAGTTCTGGCAAGCACCTCAAGATTAAAAAAAAAAACAGTTGGTAAAGTCAAGGCCACAGTAACAATACACAACGCAGCAGTAAAACCACAAGAAGCCAGAGACCAGGATCACCTGTCAGCAAACAAAATGAGATGCATGTTGCCTCGGTTATATAAATCGCTTCATACCAACGATTGGGTCAGGAACGAGAGCTCAACGAGGAGTGTTCACGAAGGTTGATAAATATGACACATGTGCAACACTCATGTGTCACGATAACATGACACATGCATGTAGCTTGTTGCTACTCCTCTGTAGCTGAACCAAGCTACCACTTTCCAAGGACACTGATGTAAGTGGCCGTTGCAGTCTTGATAGAGCAATCGTCTCAGCAGGAGCTGTGACTCGACCCCTCCAACCTCTCTGAGCGTCACAATGCTTCATGGTAATACCTGTGTTTATGGTTCTCTAAGCGTCACACTACTTCAGAGAAACACCTGCATTACGCCTCTAAGCGTCACACTGCTTAAGAGAAAACACTTGCATTACGCCTCTCTAAAACGTCACATGCTTCAGGATAATCCTTGAGACCGTTCTCGCTAGCGTAACACAGATTACGGTGGGAGTAACCTACCTGGGGCGTGTCGACCTGGCCATCACAAATAGAGGAAGGTTAAAGACTTATAAAGTTCGCTGACTTTGCTGATAGCTTCTTTAACCGTGAAGGGGCTGACGTTCTCGGCTTTATACACTCCCCCCTTTCCCTTGCTGGTGGGGGAAGTCACAGGTCACGTGAAAAAAAGGCAGGAAATTTAGCAGGAGTGATGAGGGGGGGGGGAGGGAAAGTAACCAATGCCCCCCAACTCAATAACTTCCAGCATGACCTCTGACAACCCCTCACGCCTTCTCACGTTCACTCACGACCCCTCACGTTCGCTCACGACCCCCCACATTCCTTTACATTCCCTCACGTTCCCTTACGTTCATGCTGCGAGTGATTTCAATTAGTTTTGTTGTGCACGTGCGAGTGTGTGTGTACTCACCTAATTGTGGTTGCAGGGTCGATTCAACTCCTGGCCCCGCCTCTTGGTGTGTGTGTGTGTATGTGTGTGATGGTATTTTCTTAGTGTTCCAGCAGTAACCAAATTATTCGGAAGGGACGTCTTGCCGCCGGGAGGTAGAGAGCAGCAGAGTAGCAGGTAGCAAGAGTCACTCACTCGCCTCACAACAACGTTCATAATACTCGTGTATTGAATACAAAATGGGCGTGGTGGCCACTTGTTCCTGCTTTCCATAGCTGCTTTATCAGGTTAAACACTCCAAAAACTCTAATTATTGTTGAAAAAACAGGATCATACTGTGCGAGTCCTTCGCCCACAGTTTTTATACTGGGGAGTCCTCACTCTCTCTAGGCTGGAATACTGCTGTACATTAACATCTCCATTCAAAGCAGGTGAAATCGCAGATCTAGAGTGTACAGAATCCTTTACTGCACGTATAATTCTGTCAAGCACCTTAACTAAATGGGAACGCTTGGAAGCACTTGGGCTTGTACTCGTTGGAACGCAGGAGGGAGAGATATATCATAATCTACACTTGGAAAATCTTGGAAGGAATGGTCCCCAAAACTGCACACAGAAATCACTCCCTACGAAAGTAAAAGACTGGGCAGGCGATGCAAAATGCCCCCCAAAAAAAAGTAGGGGCGCCATTGGTACACTAAGAGAAAACACCATAAGGGGTCCGGGGCCCAAAACTGTTCAACAGCCTCCATCAAGCATTAGGGGAATTGCCAATAAACCCCGGTGCCTTCAAGAGAGAGCTGGACAGATACCTAAAGTCAGTGCCGGATCAGCCGGGCGTGGCTCGTACGTTGGACTGCGTGCGGCCAGCATGTAACAGCCTAGTTGATCAGGCCCTGATCCATCGAGAGGCCTGGTCATGGACCGGGCCGCGGGGGCGTTGATCCCCGGAATAACCTCCAGGTAACCCACAGTATCATACTGTGGGGGGTCCTCACCCACAGTATCATACTGTGGGGTCCTCACCCACAGTATCATACTGTGGGAGTCCTCGCCCACAGTATCATACCGTGGGAGTCCACCACCCACAGCATTATACTGTGGGAGTCCAACAAACCCCCAGCATTATACTGTGGGAGTCCAACACCCACGCATCATATGTGGGAGTCCTCACCCACAGTATCATACTGTGGGAGTCCACCACCCACAGCATTATACTGTGGGAGTCCACCCACAGTATTATACTGTGGGAGTACAACACCCACAGCATCATACTGTGGGAGTCCTACCCACAGTATTATACTGTGGAGTCCTCACCCACAGTATCATACTGTGGGAGTCCTCACCCACAGCATCATACTGTGGGAGTCCTCACCCACCCGTACCACGCCTTGGGGGGGTTTCCCCTCCCAATTTAAACAAAATATCCAGGTCGTTAACGCATGGGTAGTGAATCCTAATGGAAATTCGCTCATTCAAAACGTTGGTTAGAATACGCAATAAAACGTACAGGGACCCGCCTGCTAGGTCTGCATTCCCCATAATGAAATTTAAATTTGGTTTAACAGTACATCGCTATCCCCCCCCCTCTTGTGAAGTCAGTGTGCGCGGGTTTGGGAAGATCGAGGGAGGGTGACACAAGAGGGGGCCAGGTGGGAGTAGGGTGGGGAAGGGAATGTGGGCGGCGGGGTTAAGGTGTGGGTGGCGGTTAGGTTAAGATGTGGGCGGCGTCACCATTTACAAAAGATTACCAGCATGCATAACAACGTATGACCCGGAGAGTGTACGCCAAGGATTTAGCATACACTTGACACTGTGTGGAGTATATATAAGCAAGGTATGCTGCAAGCATACACACGAGTGTATACCCGAGGAGAGTATACACGAGTAGGGTGCGGCCGGAGCCCCAAAGTTAAGAGGTGTCGGAGAACAGAAGTCATGTTAGGTGTTTTGAGCAACTTATGATGACCCGCAGGATGTTTTATGATACTATGAACGTCTGAAGCTAGGATAATGAGGAAAAATTTTAAAAAACTGGGGAAGCCAGGCGCCTTG